GGGGCGGACTGGGGCAGGGGCGGGGCAGCCCTCTGAGAGGAAGTCGCAGCCTGGGGTTCTGCGGTCAGACAGACCTGCGTGTACCAACCAGGGGACCCTCAGTGGGCAAATGTGCCTCTCTGAGCCTCAGCTTCCCCACGTGTAAAATGGGGCCGATAATAGCCCCCACCCAACGAGTCGCCCCGAGAATTCAATGCAGAACCCTTTGCACAGAGCTGGCCCAGGGGCGCTGCCTCAGTTTCCACCGCAGCCCTAATTAATCGTGGTCTTGAGCTCAGAGCCCGGCCTGCGGATAGACATTCCCCAAGGGGGGCTGTTGTGACTGTTGTTATTGGTATTATAATTGGCACTTGTTAAAAGTGTGATAATGGTATTGTGCTTATTTAGGGGGGAAAAAACAACAAGAACAAAAAGAGCCTTTATCTTTTACTACATACTTTCCTGGGGCAGCCGCCTGTTTTTGTAAACCAGTGTTGTTTTACATTTTGAAATGGGTGGAGGAAAAAAATCGAAAGAACATGTGGGGACACAGGAAACTTATCTGAAATTCAAGCTGCAGCATCCATAAATAAAGTCATCTTGGCACACAGCCATAACCACTCTCACTGTCGTCTGCGGCTGCTTTTGTGCAAGAACAGCTGGCACAGACCGCCCAGCGCACAAAGTCAGAAATGTGTACTCTCGGCCAGCCCAGTGGCGTAGTGGTTAAGTTCACACACTCTGCTTCACTGGCCCAGAGTTGTCGGGTTCGGATCCTGGGCATGGACCTACACACCGCTCATCAAGCCATGCTGTGGCAGCGTCCCACATACAAAATAGAGGAAGATTGGCACAGATGTTAGCTCAGGGCCAATCTTCCTCAGCAAAAAACAAAACAGATCATTGAAACTGGGTGATGGTATGCTGGTGTTCATGATACTAGTCCACTGTTGCATATGCCTGATGTTTTCCAAAAAATGTTCCAAAAAAATCTAAGTGCCTAAGGCAGTGCCAGGCACAGAGGAAGCACTGAGGAGATAGGCGCCATGGTTGTTCTCGGGGCACGGCCCCAGGCTCTGGGCTGGGGCCCCTCTCAGGCCTCTCCCATGTGGGGGTGTCTTGACCACAGAGACGCTGCAGGAGTACCTGAAGGTGGTGATGGCCCTCAAGTACGACGAGAAGCCGCCCTACGCCCTGCTGAGGAACAATCTCAAAGCCCTGCTGTGGGATCTGCGGGCGTCGGCCTACGACCCCCTGGACCTCCAGATGATGCCGTAGGTGGGTTCCCATGGGAAGAGCCCGTGAGTCTTAAACCCTCTCCCTCCCTGCCCCCAGCCCTGCCTCCCAGCTGCCATTTGATGTTTACTCCAGGGGCCAACTGCCCAGTTAGACGCTGGATTTTTCCAGAAGGTTCTTGAACCTTCCAGCCCCCAGGAATCACAAGTAGCAGGAACTCAAATTGGCTTTAAGGAAAAGAAGGGTTGATTGGCTTTGTAACTAGAAAATTCCGAGGGGGAAGCTTTAGGATGACTGGATTCAGGGCCTGGAAAGCAGCGTCGAGATGTTATCTGTCTCTTTCTGTCTTTGTCCCTTTCTTCATCCCTCCATCCCTCTCTCCCTCCACCTGGAGTCTCTGCCTTCCTTTGGGTGGCTCGCCCGTCCCCCCCACAAACTCGCGGGCTCTGTGCCCTGTGCTGGACGCACCTGGCTCTGCCACTTCACAGTTTGTCTCGCGTCTCCTCCCTGTGAGCTCAGAACATCCACTGTCTTGTGGCTGCAGCGCCATATTCCGCAGTGGGGAGGAAGGATGCTCTTTGTAACCAGCGCCTGGGCATTTGGTTGATTTCCCAGGTTTTCATTTTACAAACAACATGGCCTTGAACACCTGTGTGCACGGGCTCACTCAGGTGTCTGTGGATGGAGCTCTTATTTTGAAAGAGGTCACTAGCTGCTCTCCGTGCTGTACATGTTTACACTCTCATCAGCACGGTGTGAGACTACAGGAATTTTTGGAAGGTCCAAACTAAACTAAATTCGCTTTACAGTTAATTCTGGCGAGGCCGCGTGGGTGTGCTCTGAGAAGCTTCCCCAAGGTCCCCTCTGTCCGTGGAGCTGTCATTTGTCTCGTCGTGGGGCTGGCTGGAATCGAAGCTCGGTGTTCGCTAACTCAGGGGTCCTCAGATAGAGGCAGTATTGCCCCCAGGAGGCATTCGTTACCATCTGCAGACATTCTTGGTTGTCACAACGGGAGAGGGTGCCACTGGCATCTAGTGGGTATAGTGGAAATTTGAAAACTGGAAACCTTGCTGTCCCTTTCAGATGATTCTAGTTTCAGCTGTGCTTCCTCTCTGGGGACCACTACTCACTGGCAGTTTTGTCCCGTGGTTGGGAACTTAATGAGGAGATGCTGCTAAGGATCCCGATGACCTTGGAGTAGCTTGAAGATCATCTCCCCTCTGCTTCTTGCCTTGGCCAGCATGGATAACCTCCCTCAGATTCTAGACCGAGCCAACCTCCATCCCACCTCAGGCCCTTTGCACTTGCCATTCTCATAGTCCGGAATGCTTTTCCTCCTCATTTTTGTGCAGCTGGCTCCTTCTCATTACTGGCTCTCAGATCCTGGGGCCTTCCCTGATCGCCTTACCTGTTTTGTGCCCAGCCCTCGTCCCCGTCTGGAGGGAAGTGGGTGTTTAATTTGTAATGTCTCCACTCCCTCTGCTCCAACTTGTAGGGCCAGCAAAGGTTTCCTGTTCCTCTTGCTCATGGTGGTATCCCCAGTCCCTAGAAAGTGCCAGTCTCACAGTAGGGGCTTAATACTTGCTGCTCCTTGAGTGAATAAAACACTAACAACCATTTTTATTGTCTTGTAGAACTTTCAACTCGCAGTTTGAAATAGAAAAAAAAAAAGAAGAAGAAATGTGACTCAGGTCCTGCTGAAGAATCTCAGATAACCTTCTGGAAAGATCCCTTGAATGTGCACTCCTGCCTCTTCTTAAGGCGATACTACTCATTGGTCTCGATTAGCGTCAGGGAACCCGGCAGTCAGGCCGCGGATAATGGGAACTTCCTCCTTTCGCCTGTCCCCTCCTTTCAGTCGTTGTCTCCTGCCAGCAGCTGGGGTTGTGGATGAAGACCCCCCCAGCTCACAGTCCCCTCAGTGGGGACCCTTCCTACCATTGGCACCACTATGCTTTGGTAATAAATTGTTTCATTGGAGCTTGGGAGTGGAGTGTCTGCAAAAGAAGTTCCTTTTGGAAAAGTGACCTCCAGTTTTCCCCCATCCATCCATCCCTTCAACCTTTCATCCAGCCACCCACTCTTTCCTTCGTCTATCCAAACTTTCCTGGAGATGCCCATTCATCCATTGTTCCGCTTATCCATCCATCCTTCATCCTTCCATGTACCTGTCCATCCATCCACCTCCCACCCACTCTTTCATCCACTCATCCCTCCCTCCATCCACTCATCCCTCCCTCCATCCACTCATCCCTCCCTCCATCCACTCATCCCTCCCTCCATCCACTCATCCCT